TACTCGATCTGATTTACAGTACCGTTACAGCGGTACAACTGCCCTACTCTCGACTAAGACATGCAACCCCATACCATGAGGGAACCCCCTCCATGCTTTACTGTTGGAGCAATGCAGTCTTTGTGATACTTCTCACCTATTCTCCTCCTAACCAAGACTCGCCTTGCTCCACAGAAAAGCTGAAAGGTGCTCTCATCGCTCCAAAGCACCTTCTTCCAGTCTTCGGCAGTCCAGTCCTTATGCTCCTTCGCAAATCGCAGTCTCTTCAACTTATTAGCCTTAGATAAGAGAGGCTTCTTGGCTGCAACTCTGCCATGCAGACCTGCATTTTTTAGTCTGCGTCGTATGGTACTCGCACCTGTAACGACCCCCATCTCAGTTTGCAATCGAGCGCGCAGGTCAACGGCTGTCTGGCGACGATTCTCGAGACACATCCGAATCAGTGCTCGGTCCATCCTCGGTGTGGTTTTCTTCGGTCGCCCAGACCTCGGTAAATCTCCGACACTACCCGTCTGTCTCATCTTCTTTACTATTCTAGCAACAGTATTTACACCTATGCCCATTTCTTTGGCGATCACCCGATAAGATTTGCCTTCTTCTGCCCTTACGAAGGCTGCCATTCTGTCCTGAATGCTCAGCTTGTTGTATTGACTCATGGCTATTCAGCAAAATCTATAAAAATAATTAATACTTTAGTCACTTAAATCATAGTATAAACAATTATAACAGTAAGACAAACATTTCTGCAGTGTTTTAAACAGGTTTAGGTAATGTTCAATATTTTATTATTATTTTTAAAATAATTTTCACTATTTATTCAGAAATATTCTTCTAAATCAATACTTAATGTCTAAAAAATTACCACATCATCTCTATTATCACTCATTCATTAAAAAATTACTATCTACTATTTCTACAACTGTTTGTTTACAAAATACATTATGTAATAAATAGTTACAATATTGTTTCTTACCTTTGTGTAAATCTAAAATTTTGTTTTTATATAGAATGCTCAAACTGTTATATAAATCTGCAATGAATTAATAAAACTCTATTTTTATCGGTTTGTCAATGTAAACAACAGTGTTCTATTAATAGCACATTCACGATGACACGTTCTGGGCATACTAAAAGCCTAAATAAATGACTACATGACAAGAATTGTATTGAACTCTAAAATAAAACTGCTGTAACCATGACTTTTGGCTGCTATAGTATATATATAAATATATATATATATTTATATATTTATATATATAGGTATATATATATATATATATATATATATATATATATATATATATATATATATATATATACACATATATGTGTGACAAAATATATAAAGAAAAAACGTGTATATATACCCACATATGTTAAATATATTCATATATAAATATATATATATATATATATATATATATATATATATATATATATATATATATATATATATATATATATATATATATATATATATATATTTATATATATATATATATATATATATATTTATATATATATGTATATATATATATTTATTTATATATATATATATACATATATATATATATATATATATATATATATATATATATATATATATATATATATATATATATATATATATATATATATATATATATATATATATATATTTATATATATATATATATATATATATATATTTATATATATATGTATATATATATATTTATTTATATATATATATATATACATATATATATATATATATATATATATATATATATATATATTATATATATATATATATATATATATATATAAATATATATATATATATATATATATATATATATATATATATATATATATATATATATATATATATAAATATATATATAAATTTATTTATATATATATATATATTATATATATATATATATATATATATATATATATATATATATATATCTTTATATATATATATATATATATATATATATATATATATATATATATATATATATATATATACGTATACTCATACTCATGTCACTGATAGTTGACATTAAGATCTTGAAGCTTAATTAGTATGAAGTCCATAGTCGAACAAATTGACGAATAGATTTTTCTAAATTGACTTATTTGACTTTCATTAGATTTAATCAAAATTGATAACAGCACTACCTATAACTTGGAAAAATAAACATTGTTTTGTTGACTTATAAATTGTTACAATTTTTTGAAATGTTATTTTTTAAACCAATTATAGAATTTAATATGTTATTTTTGTATATCAAATATAAATTTTATAAAATTTTCAATTGCATAAAATTTATATTTGACTTTCTATTACAATTGTAAATCAAATATAACCTTTAGACAATTTTTAGTGCAATCTAGACCAGATTCTGTTGGTGAGTTTATATGTTAATTTTTTTAAAAAAATTTTCAAAATATGTATGAATATTACTTTGCTTTTTTTTTGTTTTTTTTTTTTGTTTTAACAATTCCTTTTTTTATTATAACCTTTAGCATTATCTGAAACCGCTTCATTATTATTATTTTATGAATTATGATTTTATAAAAATGATTTTAGTTACATACCAATATAAAGATATTTTTAATAGTTTGTAAAACATTTTTTTTATGATTTATAGTGTCTTTGCCACCTGTTGTGTCTGGTAAGTCAATAAACTATAACTTAATATTTCAAGAGATGATATACAATATACCTACTTTTATGCAATATTTTTAATAGTTTGTAAAACATTCTTTTTTTGATTTATAGTGCCTTTGCCACCTGTTGTGTCTGGTAAGTCCATAAACTATAACTTTATAGATAAATATAATAATATATAAATTAAAAATTTATAGATGATATACAATATACCTACTTTTATGCAATGTTTTGAATAGTTTGTAAAACATTCTTTTTTTGATTTATAGTGCTTTTGCCACCTGTTGTGTCTGGTAAGTCCAGAAATTATAACTTTATATTTTATAGGGGGAATAACAATTTCACTTTTACACATACTTTTAGACATTTATACATACTTTTATACAATTTTTAGTGCAATCTAGACCAGCTGCTGTTGGTAAGTTTAACAGTTAATACTTTAAAAAAAAATTATAACATATATAACAATATTAGTTTGTGCAAAATGTTTATTTAACATGCTTATTAGTTGCATACCAATGTTAAGATGTTTTTAATAGCTTGTAAGACTTTTTTTATGTGTAATTTGTAGTGTCTCTGCCACCTGTTGGGTCTGGTAAGTTAATAAGTTGTAACTTTTGAATATTATTATAGATTAAATACCAGATTGTAAGTGACTATTTTAGATATTTGTAGCCGAAAAGCTGCAAATATTAAAAAAAAAATTGTAAAATCTGTTCAGTTTTCAAATATCACATTACGCAATTATATATTAAACAACTCAGCGTTTCGAATCTTATTATATAGTTTACAGTATATAAATTTTGCAACATTTTTTTTAGGTCTGACAAGAACAGATTTTTTCATTGGAGGCAGTTACACCCAGGACCCAAGTCGCGAAGTGCATTCCGCATTTGGATGGAAAACGGTGGTACTGATGTACCACATTTTCGGCATAACTGGCGTGTCAGACGAGGTAGTAGAAGCAGACGTGGTGGGGTTGTTGTTAAACATTATACTCACAATTGAAAATATTATTAAAAAATATACTTTTTAATTCAAATCCGGTGTAGCGGGGAATGAGGATCCGAGGAAATTAAGACTTCAAAGTCATGGCTTCTTTACCTTTCCTGCTAAAGTTGAAATTCATTTAGTTGAACAATTGTGTACATTTCTATCTTTTTATCAGCTGTTAAAATCAATGTAAAGAAATATGACGATATCCAGTAAACTTAACTTTAAACTTTCTCATTACCGAAAAAAAAAAGACTCACAAGGCTGAATTTCAAGGATCTTAATTTACTGCGACACCGGTTAATGCTGAAAAAGCATCCAAATATTGGCAACCTACACCCGTCAAAAAGAAAAGGAAAAAAAAACGTTTTTTGCATGCATCTCTTTAGAATATATCGTGCGTTATTTTTTAAACGAAATTTCTTGCACAATATATAGTTCCACGCAAAAGATGTTAACTTAAAGAATCCGAAACTTTGTGTTTTTATTGCATGGGCGTTGTTTATATGGCATTATTAAGAAAAAGTTGGGACTCTTTCAGTGTGATATAATTTACGTCAAGTAGACATTTTTGGGAGCAATTAGAAAAAAAGTTTCCGTTTAGGAAATATGCTAAGTAATGAATTTGCTATGCTAATTATGCTAAGTAAGAATTTAAAAAAAGTACTTTAAACAAAAGGAAAATTTAAAAAGACCATTTAAGATTTTTTGAAAAGCTAACTGTTTTCTATTGTATTAGTGGACACAAGGCGTGTTTTGGACATACTAACACGTATAATAACAGATAGAGTTGCGCTTAATTTACTAAGGTAATTATTTGCACAAATTTAATTAGGTAATTATTTGCACAAAATTTATAAAAGAATCTAGCGCAATATTTAAGAACCAACCGTTTGCAACTCAATTGAGTAATAAAATTACAATACTTCAACTGAGTTGCAACGGGGTTCAAGGCCCATTTGTATTTCTTGTAATACTAAAAAATTTGTTTAAAATTTTTTTGATTTACTGCAATAATACAATTTTTATGTTAATTAGCATTTAATTTTAATATACGATGCTATCACATGCTAAAAATTTCAAAAATCTAGCTACTCTGAAGGAAGTTAAAATTACACGATAAAATAAAAACAACACGTGAATACTTTATAAATTAATAAAGTATTGTGAAAAGAGAAAAGATTGTAAAATAGCTAAAAGCTTACTACATGATTAAGGTGGGGAGCACATTAGAAGGTGAGTTGAAACTCTCCAGCTCAAATTTAATATCAGCGCAAACGAGTTTTCAAAATTAGTTTAAATATAACGATCACTTAATATTAATAAAGTTTTCTATTGTTTTTAAATGAAATCTTACATTTAAAGGTAAATGTTGTTAAAAAGTGAAGTTAATTTTTAAAAGCTGATTTACTCAAAATTTAAAAACTAATGCCTACATAAATAACATAAATTCATTATTCGAGCATAATGGTAGCTAACATTAAATACTTGTTTTCCGTAGATTTAAGTGTTCATTTCGCATTATTAAGCCTTTAATAATGTTCAGATGAGTTTGAGATGTTTCCTTAAATAAAAATTTATGTAAAAGAAAATATTTTACCTGCTGCAGGTTTTATTGTCTTTAGGTGACCAAAACATGCGACAAGAACAATGGAGTAGAACACGGGTTGTCTTTGCTGCACATCTGCAAAACACATTTGGATTTACCACAGTAGGAAAAACATCTACCCGGTTATTCAATATACATTGTATTAGGCGCTTCCGCATTTGTGTTTGATCAAATATTATTGCAGTTGAAGGTAAACCCTTTGCTCCAAGAAATTGTGTAGCCCAAGAATTAGCATATAGTCCACAATCAACACCATTAGTTTGTTGTTGCACAGGTAATACTTTTATTACAAGATATTTTAGATCTCTATGTAAAATGGAGCATATTTGCCTTTTCGTGTCAAAGGAAAACCGAACCACGAAAAAGACTGTCAAAATTATATCTCCCACGGTTTCCAATCATAAGTAGTAACACAAATCCAATGGAGATTTCCATCATGTAAAATTTGAACAAATGCACTGCTCTTCAGAATCTCAAAAGATAGAACTTTTCCTTTAATTGGATCTTGCAAACCAATATTGATACCCAATACTGATACCCAATACCCAGTACTGCCACAATTTGCTGACAAAAGTGAATAGTGTTATCATTATGCATTTGGTCCTTTCTAATGTTATCCCATTTTATATTTCCAATCAAAGGAGATTTCAGATCTTTTAAATGCTGAATAATGCTTTGATGTTCCTTATTGACATCAAATGCAGTAGTCTCTAATAACTCATGATAGTCATCTGATGAAACTTCTTCGATTTCAATGAAATCATTGGGAACTGTAATTATTGTACAATTATCGTCGATAAAGTTACTTGTAACTTTCTCAGAAATGCAAGAATTCTTATTTTCTACAACATTAATATCACAGGCTGCTTTATACATGTCATACTTTTTGCCAACTCGTTTAATTATTTTCCTTTTGCGTCTTACTGGTAGCTGACAAAGGCTAGGTAAATTTGATTGAGACTTGTTCCAAATGTCTGGTTTATTTTCCGGACGCAGGAAAATCCCCTGTTCAGCTAAGAGATTTTCTGCTAAGTTTTTTTAAGATGGAAAAGCTCTTAAAACAAATTATCAATAGCTATTTGAGAGCTGCATAAATATGTAATTTGTCTAATTTCATTTAAAAGTTCACGACATTTTTCAGAAGTATGTTTATTGATTTGAAGATTAGAATTTTGGTCAGTATATCCACGGGTTTTTGTTTTGTTCATAAACTAAACACTTTCTACTATCTGCACTCTAGACTTAACTGGTAAACCTTGCGGTCTTTCATGTGCTAAATGATTGTTTTGCAACAAAGCGTCAGTGAAATGTGAAAACTCGTTAGCTAGCTCTGCAGGTTCTTTTTCATCTGGAAATAAATCTAGAGTGAAATAGGGTGAGTCGGAGTATATGGTACCAAACGCAGACCAAGTGAGGTTTTCCTTTAGGAAAAGAGAAGAGAAAAGTTTAAATGGATATGCAGTATCAAACCAACTTGGACAAGAACAAGTGGGCAAATTTATAGCATTACCAAGGTAGCAGCGGTATATTTTTTTACTATATAAATTGAACGAAGCTACATTGTACAACCGTTCACCTACAGATACTATTCCTCGCAAGTCAACACCTTGTAAGTTATCTATTTTTCTCATTCAATGCTTGACAAAAGGGTGTGGACGATTATGTAAATAATCTGGTATGTTATTATTGTATTTCCGGTAATAGGAATGCGATATTCTATTTTTATCACAGTAGCCAAATATAATAATAATTATTAGTGTATGACATATGACATATTAATTAATCAATGTAATTTAATATTTTAACGCAGATCATATAATTTAATAATTGTTGTTGATATTTTAGTTCTTTATTTATTTTTATAATTTGTTATATTTATTTTAGTGCTACTAGCTTTTACTTAGCAAAACTGTAAAGAAAAAAAATATGCTTAGATTCATTTTTTGATAAAAATAATTTTTTACAGAGAAATTTTATAGTCACAATTTCTTTTAGCTTTCCATAAACAAAATAATCTTAAAAAATTTACTTATAGGTTATTTAAAGAGTGCCGGAACTCTGCAGTGTCAACTAACCTGTCATATTTGTGAGAAAGAAATTCTTTAATGCAAATACTAAGCATAGATGTTAGTGAAGAATTTTTCCTTTTTTCTAAGAAACTGTATTTGAAAGATTGGTTCTGTCTTTCAATGCCATTGTTGGTGTTGACATTTAGCAAGAGGCGATCTTGCCTGTAAGCAAACACCATCTCTAAAAAGGAAACATTGTACTAGCTAAAAAACTATTTCTCAATATTTAAAAAATCTCAATTTTACATTAATTCTTTGGTATGTAATCACTTACATGCAGATATAGATAGTCAATACAATGTCACAGATACATGCAGGTTCTTAATGAAACATTGAGGGTTGGCAAAAAACCCTGCCAGTTTTTTAAACATAGTTTAAAACAGCTATATAACTTTAAACCTGATTTAAAATTTTGATTTAAAAGTAATTTTTTTTGTAAAGTTTATTGAATAAATTTTTATTTCTTTTATTTATTTTTGAAAATTTTATTGTGAAAAACTTTATTAAAAATATTTTTGTTGGAGTTAAAACATTTACAGCTAGCTACTATTAAATGCTTATGCT